TAAAATGAATACTGTCAACACATACACACAAGACATGTGACTGCGTGTATACCTTAATTTTATATATAACAAGAAAATATATTTTTATTTTTTAAGTTGATTTATTGATGTGTTTTAGTAATCTCTACACCCAACGTGGGGCTCGAACCCACCACCCGGAGATCAAGAGTCGCTCACTCTTCTGATTGAGTCAAGCACCCCTATAACAAGAAAATGTAAAACAGGCTATTGAGGAATGAACCCTATAGGCCTTGCTTCTAACTCCAACTTTCCTCTTAGTTATAAAAGCACACCTTTCTCTAGTCCCCGGTGTCTGTCTTCGCCTAGAACAGGGACTGAGGGATCCCGAAAGAGTTCAGAAGTTTTCCCACCGGTAGGAAGGAAGGTCCTGCTCAGTATTTGGCCACTGGGGAGGCCTGTGCTCCCACCTTCGCCACCTGGACTTTGCAAGTCGGGCTGGCCAGCCTGGGGGCTGCCTGCCTCTGAGAGGGGCGCGTGGGCACCGCGTGGCTGGCGTGAGCTCCGTTGCCGACATTCCGTCCCTGAAGCTCCGGAGTGACCTCGTCCAGGCCTCGGGGAGAGTGCGCCCTTCCCACCACTCCCAGGACTCTCCGGAGTTCGCGTGTCTACACGAGGCCCACTAGAAGACAAACCGAGCTGGCCACGCTGTGCGCTCGCGCGGAGGAGCGAGCGGTTGCCAACTTCACGTGGCCATTTGAGCCTAAAGTCAGGGAGGGGCTCGCCCTCCCACCCGCCGGCCCGCGCCTCGGAGCAGCCCAGAGGCCCGGCAGGCCCGTGGGGAAGGGCGGCCTGGAAAGCCTGGGCCTGCAGGCGGCCCCGGGGCGGGGGTGGGGGGGGGCCTGGCTTCGACTCGCCCCGCCGGCACCGCCTGTGCCTCGGCGGAAGGGCCTGCAGCCGGGGCGGGGCCGCGCTGGGCGCCGCAAGCCCGGCGGGCCCGTGACCGATCCGCGCCGAGACGCGCGGCGGAGAGCGCGGGAAACGCGGCGGCGCGCGAGGGCCGGCGGGCCGGTGGGGGCGCAGCGCCTCCCGGACTCGCGGGAACGCACGACCGCCCGCCGGCCGAGCCTCCGCTTACCGTCGCGGGCGAACTAGGTCAAGGCTGACCCCTCCCGCGGGGCCCAAGAGACCGAGAAGGACCGCCGAGTCTGCGAAGGCTCGTTCGTGCCTCCTCGGCCCCGGTTGGCCCTCGGTTTTCCCTGACCGCGGAAAGGACGGACGGGGGAGCGCAGAAAGCCGAGGCTCCGACCGGAAGCTTCTTCCGGAGACTCTCAGGGCCTGCAGGCTTGCGTGCGTGCGCGCGCGCGCTCCCGGCTCGGCTCCGGGACTCTGCAGAGCTCGCGTGGGAGCCGGGCGGCACCGGCGTCCGCCGGGCAGCGCTGCCCGGTCATTTTGCAGCGTGCAGCAAGTGGCAGCGGGGGCCAATAATGCAGTCGAGGAGGGCGAGTTGAGGGCAGCAACACGTTCACAGTCGCAGGGTATATTTGCCAGCGCTCGCAGCTACCCGCCCCCGCCGATGCGGGAGCAGCCGTCCCCTCCCACAGGGCGCGGCTGCTCCTACGCGGCCCCGCGGGCCGGCGCGCGGGAGAACCTGCTGGTAGGCGCCCCGCGGCCCCGAGAGGCGGCGCGGGGGAGGCCGCGACCGCAGAGCCCGAGCCAGGCCGGGGGCCGGGGCCCGAGCTGTCGGCGTGCGACTGCCTCCCACGTGCCGAGGGCAGAGCGGCCGGCTAGTGGATGACTGATTGCGTGGGGAGAGCGAGGCTGTAGCTTGCACAGTAGCTGGTGGCCAAAGCGTGACACTGTGCCATCTCTGTGGAAGTCGTGGTGTGTATGGCCATTGGGTGACTGGAACATCCAGACCCTGATCGTGCGTACGGTGTTTCCTCACAAGCAGCACTCGCCAACTTCAGACCAGGTCCCGGGTGCCCCTCTGGCTAATCCTCTCTGCCATTAGCCCGCCTAAATCCTCCTTTTATGCCTTCCACCTTTGCTTTCCGTTTCTCCTTTCCTTCGGTCCTTCCCTCCTCCCGCCCTCCCCCCCCCCTTCCGTCTTCCCCGAATGCTGAATGCCACTCACCCACCGACATCCCAGGCCAGGAGTCGGGCATAAACCCCACATCTCCCCCCAGGACAGCCTGCGCTTGTAGAATTGGAGAGCTCTGCTTTGGCCCCAAAGCACGTCTCAATAATAGTGAAGGTTGCAACTGAGAGCCACCTATAAACGCCCATAACTCGGTTCACACGGACTCCCCAACCTCGTCAGAAAGCCATTTTCCACAGCTTAGGAACGTTTTGGTGGTTTGTGTTTGCTCGAAGCAAAGGAGCTGGCCAGTCAGCTTGGTTTCTGGGTACAGAAAGGTTATTTTCTTTTAAAAGCAGTTTTCCGGTCGCAGAAAACTGGTTCTCCATTCCCTCACCTACCAAGGCAGTTTGTCACTTTGGCCTTTCACCTTAACACATTCCACCTTTTATTGTTTGTTTGTTTTAAGTTCAAGGCTGAAGTCTTCCCCCATGTCAGATAGAATGTCATTGCATTACAGCATTTGAGACAACTTTTGGGGACTTGTCCACAAAACTAGCTCCCTGATCCTTCACAAGAGAACGAGGCCAACTGAGAGATTTTAAACTTCCTTATGGATGGGATTGAATAGATTTTATTGATCAAATGTGTGAGGTTTACGACTTTCAGACCTTAGGAAGCTGTCTGAAGCCTTCCTATCTTACAGATTTAGATCCAGCCCCAAATCCCTCCCTCAGTGGAGAGAGGACATTCAGGTTCTTCTTTCAGTTCATTGTAAAAAGAAAAATAGCTTTTTATGAGGTTGGGGCACCTCTTACAAGTTTTGATATTTAGATAAAATATGACAAGGGAAGAAGGAAGAGATCATTCTGTTATTTCAGTGGATTACTTTTTAGTGTAAAGTTATGAACATTGGATTAAACATTTTACATTTGCCCTCTCCCCACTCCTCCTTTAGTTGGGACAAATGTTTCCACTATTGACTTTCAATTTTGCATAATGCTCCCTACCTTTCCTAAGATGCCAGAAGTCACAGGTACACACTCCTTACTTAGCCTGTTCTATTGAAGGTAGCTCTTGATTGACACGCTGCATGTCCCCTCCCCAATGCACTGACACTTAACAAATACACTTTTCTTGATCTAGATAGTGCTGGGGTGTGCAGAACTCTTTTGGTATTGCCCTGACTTTCAGTCTTTTCAAGCTGCTATTTAGGTGTTCACCCTGAGGCATAAAATGAATGATTGAAAACAAGCAGGTGAACATTTGTTCAATTTTCTGCTATTTTGTTTGCGTTTGTCAAGTTTCATAGGGGAGTCTGTAACAGGTGTCTAAGTAATAGACTCCAAGACATCTACTAAATCCCTTAGTAGGTGACTTCTAGACCAGTTCTAAGCCAATAACATTATTGTTTCCAAAAGGGAAGGTAGAAGCTAAGTTTGGTTTTGTCAAAGGATTCTTCTGAGTGTTTGTCTTTATTTTATTCATTTTATTTATTTATTTAATGTTATTTATTAGATGGTTTGTGGGAAGAAAAGGAGAACTAAATGGGGCAGGGGACAGAGATAGAGAATCCAGTGGCAATTTGTTTTCGTGACTAAAGCCATTTTCCCAGACTATTATCTTGCCACGGTGACGACACAGAAAGCACAAGTCATGGAAGTGGATTACTCTCACTCTGGACTATTGGAGGCCTGGAGAGCCCTGGCATGAATTCCTATAGGAAAGTAGACAAACCCAGCCATCTCCCCCTGCAGTGCCTCATTGCCTAAGGGTTCAAGGCTCTCTCAAAATTGCTACTGACCACAGCTAGGTCTAGGTGGCAGGGCTTCCCCACCCCGGGGGCGGGGGGGAAGCAGATGCTCTGTGTGGAACTGAGGAGGAAGCCCGGTAAGCCTGAGGGGATGGGATGCTATAAGAGGCAGGCTGTGGCCACCAGTCCCCTGGCAAGATAGCAATCAAGGAGTCAAAGCTAGCTAACAGTGAATGAAAGGGAGCCAAGAAAGGGACCCTTTGGGTGCTAGAGACTAGCCTTTCGCTCTTCCACTCCTCCCCCTGGGCTCCGATGCTAGGTTTCAGGGTTGGAGATCTAAGATGAGAAGACAAGCATGGTAAGAAAACATGCCTAGCCCCCGTCCAACACACAAGCTCCGGTGGACGCTTGCAGAGATCAGGAGAGATGCCTGGAGTCCTCGGTGATGTGTGTGTCTGACTCATGCAAGTTGTACACGGTCCACAGGGGAGTGGGGGGTGGGAGGAAAGCCTCGTTTTCTTCAGGCACTCTGTCTGGGGTTGTTGTGTCTCCTCTCCCTCAACCCTCCATTTCACCCCATCAGGACCAAACAGAATTGAAACTCCCATTGCCTTTGCCTGCACTCAGCCTAAAAACTCGGGACTTGATAAGGTTACTGCACCATTGATACAATTGCAGGGATTTTTTTAAGCCTCCTCAAAGAGACAGATGTTTAGGCTGATTAAAAACTGAGGAGGAAACCTGCAGCTGTACCAAGAAATAATCTATTGGACAAATATTTTAATAAAAAAATATGAAGAGATCAGCCCGACCTTGCAAGGTCTTCTGCTTTAAAAAAATCTTTATCAAACCCCTATTCTATGGCTTCAATAAACAGAACCCATTACCTCACGGCATCTTTTGTTGGCCCCATACAAGAGAGAACAAAATGGTTATTCAGGGGAACGCTTTCGATTTTTATTGTGGGTAGCCTGCACAAAGAGCCGTGTTATTGTATTTAAAAGAACCATCTGTAGCAGAAACAATGGCATCAAATTATCTTTGAATACCCACTGAAAAAACATAAAGCTTTTTTTTTTTATTCTTCTTCTGTACGGTGGGGGGATAGAGCAGTGTTAGGATAACTGACTTTTTTGTTGTTCTCTGGGTGCATTCTTCTCGCTCCCCCTCTCTCCCCCTCACCCTCTCTCTCTCTCTCCCTCTCTCCCTCTCCCTCTCTCTCTCTCTCTTTTAAAAAATCAGCCATTTGGGGTTTTAAGCCATAAACGATTTTTCTTGTTGCAGGGGACTGCAGTGGCAAAGCTATAGGCTAGGTCTTGGAGACTGGTGCAAGGCGAAGCGGGTGAAGGCAGGAGGCTGATGGAGAGACTGGGGGGAAGAAAAGCCGAAATGGATTCACGGTGCCTTGGATGGAGGACGAGAGGGGAATTGCAGGCTCCTTCAACTCGTTCTGTCCGGTGAGAAGTGATCAAGCTTGGGCTGACAAGAGGCTCAGGGAGCCCTCACGTTCTTTCGCTTTTTTACCTGCCAATCAAACTGCTACAAGACAACACCCTGATCTGGCATGGACATGTAAGTAGCTTGCAACCCAACTTTGACATTCACTGCTAGCTCACTCCTCTCCGCCCACCCCCCCAACTCACTTTCTTCCCCTCTCATTCTATTTTTTTTTATTGACCTTTAAGAGATCTGGAAATACACCCTGTGTAACAGTCATTTAACACAGGCAGATTTAAGTCTGAAAGCGTTAACTTTTGGAATGAAATGCTCATTGGGATTTCTTTAACAAATGCAGAGATGAAGACATTATTTTATTCTCTTCTGAACAGTTCTAGTGCTGAACATAATCAGTTGCCCGGCGAGGGTGTGTGTGTTTCTTTTTCCTTTGAAAATAAAGAAACCCGTGAGCCCCCAGAGAGAAATGCAGAAATGAAAAACTCAGGCTTCCATCTTAAAAATGTCAAATGCTAGCATCTCATCCCTCCCAAAAATAAATAAATAATAAATAAATAAATAACCTTCTCCAGACCAAGGTCACACAGAATGCAAAGAGTGATTTGAGCCCAAAGGTACATGTCATTAAGGGGTTGCTACTCTTTCATCTGGCGTCGTACTATTTTGGTGGTGGTTGGGGAGGGGGTGTGAAAAAAGAGAAGAAAGACGACACGGCGATACCTCATTCTTTATGAGAGATTGACATTGAGGGGGCTAGAGATACAAGACAACAGGAGAAGCAGGAAATATTACCTGAGGGGAGGAATCACAGAGCATGGCGGAGCTGGAAGCTAGGAGGGCTTCGGTGGGAAGTTGTGCGAGAGGTGACGGGGCTTGCTCTCCGGCGCCCTCTAATGGCAATCGGAACCAATGTTTTACTTTCCTAATTCAGTACTAGGAAAAGCAGCTGGGTTTTTGTTGTTGCTGTTGGTGGTTTTCCTCGCAGGCTTAGAAACTAGATACTATTAGTGGAGTGAATTGATTGTTTTCATCCCAGAAACTTATGTATATGCCTTAAAATTATCAACGTTTTCTCCCCAAACATCCCCTCCTCTCCCAAAATTTTGTTGGTCTAATAGAAGAGGAGAAGGTAATAGCAGATTGACTTCAAGGAGGGTGGCCCAAACCCAATTAGTAATTCGGAGAAAGGGATTCCTCTCCTACCTGAACAGCATTCTGACTCTTCTAATATGTTGGAGAAGTCTTGGGGGCTGAGGTAGGGAGGGATGATTTGGAAATTGCAGATTCTGACACAGGCTCATTAGAACACAATTTAAGGGGGCCTCTTAGGAACCCCTGTTATTGCTACATGTGGTGGTCAGGGGGCTTTCCTTCCCGCCTCCTTTTTCTTTTCTCTTTTTCTTCTTTCTTTCGTTCTTTTTTTTTTTTTAAATTTGGTAGATAAAGGTTAATCTTGGGCTGAATGATAGAGCTATGATTGACAAGAGAAAAGGTGTTGAGGGCAGGTCGCGCTGTCTTATTTACAGCCCACTGCTTGCTGTAGAGTCTTTGTTAGGACTGGAAAGCTAATTTAGTGCTGATCAAAAGCACCACAGAGTTAAAGGACTGGTAATGACTGCTAATTTCATTTCAGCCTCATGCATCCCCAACTGCTGTAATTAAAGACACGCTATTTAAATACAGGTGAAGGCTTTTTTTTTGTAAGTTAGGGTGGGGGTGGGTGGATTACAATATTATTTAGATTTCATCTTATACATGGGTGTTATGTAGTCCAACATCAGCTTTTTTTTTTTTTTTTAGAGCCCCTTCTTGTCATTTATACCTGGCTTTGCAGAATCGGCAGTGTGAAATATGTCAATCACACAAAAGGCCCTATTTAAAGAAAAAAAAAGCAGGATGCAGAACAGTAAATGTTTGGGGGGGGGGATTTAAATATTTGGGTCTCTTTTATTTTTCCCCTTCAAATTAATGGAAGGGCCTTCGAAATAGCTGAAGTATTTGAAACTTAGGGCAGGGTTAACAGGCCAAAGGGATCAGTGTCAGCTTTTTAAGTACTTCTGAAAAGATCATGTGAACAGATGGAAAAATATATTTTTAATTAAATAATTTCCCCCACACTGTAGCTGCAGTGTTGGCTCAGAAACCGTGTAATTCCTCAACCGATAGGAGTTTCTTTATAAGAACATCAAAGGATAAAAGCTCTACATTTTCGTAGTTGGTTAAAATTGATAACCCCCCCACACACACACACACACCCAAAAAAGAATTTAGCCTTTAATCTCTTTTTATCCACGAAGACTAAAGCTCTGTACTCGACCCCGCGAGCGGCTCTCGCCTTCCGGGGCTGGAACTCGGCTCAGATGTGAAGCGGCGCTGAGCCGCCGCGCAGGTTCGTGACCAGCGCCCCCTGTTGGACACAGTAGGAGATGCACAGCGCCAGTCCTGGAAATCGCCAGAACCTTGCTCTGGGGTTAGATAAAACTCTTTATTACCCTCCAAAAAGGAAATGGAGCGAGGAAACAAGTTTTTATATTCTTGAGAGAGAATATAATTTAATTCAATAAAAAATAAAGAGGAGTTAACACAATTTCAATCCAATCAAAAATGAAGACTAACCTATTCCTCTTCCTCACATTCCAGCCACCCCCTCTCCCCGTTTGGGTTTGGGACTCTTTTCAGATTCTGAGATAGTAAAACAGGTGGAGAAGCATGATGTAAAACAAAGAGAACTTTCTTCTGTGGGAGTGGAGAACCAAGCAAATTACTTCTCCCGTTCTGTACACATTTACAAAAATAAAACGTGAGAGGCTACTGCTTGCTGTTTTGACGTTGCCAGCAGCATCTTGAATGCCCTCCGAGGTCCTTCAAGAATTGTAACTGAGTCCCTGACTAAACGAAATAACTTGCTCGTTTTTATTTGTTTATTTCCAGAGTGTAATTAAGAGGCCAGTCTCTGCTTTGAATGTTTCCCATCCCCCAAACCAATCTTGATCAAACTTTTCCTTTCCGGGCTAGCGGTTAAATTCCAGATATTGTTTAAGAAACAGGTGCCTGACACCTTTCTTCTTTTATCTCAGCATCTCAGCCGTAGGATTTCAGGAAAGGTGTGCCAATGGTAAAGAGTATTTTCTTTTGAAATTCAGCATTTTCCTGGACCAGGAATCCAAATTATCCTAGGGCGAAGAGGGATATTTTACATTTCCAAAAGTACCTGTCTACATAAGAAAGAGCTTTGACTTTTTCTTTGGTGAGCAAGTAAGGGTAAAAGTACACTTCGAATTCTTTCAGAAAGATAAGCTATAAAAATGACATATCTTCTGAAAGTAAAATAATGGGAAAGTATGGGTTTGCTTAGGTGTTTGAAAAGGTCTTGAAAACAATTCGAGTGCTAAATGAACAAGTGATCCCAATAAGGCTTTATGATTTCAATCTTCAGGGATGTACTTAAAATTTTAACTTTTAGACGTCTAGGGCTTGCTTTTTAAAAATCTGCCTATTGGAGGAAACCAGATTAATTTTCATCACAGAATTACTTTTTAAAATATTTAATATTGTGGCCACGCAAGTTGTTTATGTTGACCTTAGGTTTATTCCTCTCACCTCCCCAAATCAGCGGATCCGAGATTGTGTTTTCAGGGGAATTGCTGTTCAGGGCGATGAGAGAGGCCTTCTCCATCTGATTCCAGAATCGAATCTGGGCTTGTGTTTCTCAGTAAATGACTTCGGATACAGTGGCAGGAAAAGAATCAAGGCTTTGATCAATTTTTATCTGGAATCCTATCGAAATAACGGGCAAGCGGGATTCCCTGCGACAGGCACTCCCGCCCTTTGCTTAACCAAAAAACAAAAACAAACAAACACAAAGTCCCCATTACAGAAATATTAGGCCGGGCCAGTTTTGGAACGAGCGCCAAGCTCGTCAAGTACCAAACGGTGTGTGACAGCCGCGGTCCAAGGCCGACAGTGGCGTGGGAAGGCCAAAGGCAGCTGAGTCTTGGAGGCGACCCGCGAAAGGGGATATATGCCTGCTGTTTGGGGAAGTGAGGCAGAATTTGCAAAACCAGAGGCCGGGAGATTTCGACCCGGTACCGCCCCCCCCCCCAACACACACACCGGGGGGTCCCAACCTGTGGGGAGAAGCCAGGGGGAAGAGCCACACTTGGCTGCAGGTGGGCAGTTGGGGGGGGTCCCAACTTCCCAGGGCCCAAGGTGAAAGCGCAACCCCCAGTTTAGGAGAGAGGACTAAATAAGTGGGTGGCCTAGGCCTGGGAAAGCCACCCAGCTTTCCCGGCGCAGTGTCATTTCTCTGGCTTCAGGCGGCCTCAGCCCTTGCCGGAATCCCACGCCCCACGGTGGCCAGCAGGAAGGCAGCCCTTCCATCTTTGGGGACTGGGGAGGGGGCAGGGAGTGACTGGCTCTTCAGAAGCAGGCAAAACCGCAACGGCTGGCAACGGGCTGCATTTCTCTGCAGCAGCAAAGCGCCTTTTAGGGGAGGAACGGGCATTTGGGGTCTCTTGTTCCAGCGGCCGGGCCTGAACCCGCGCCTCTTGGCTGAGCGCCCTGCTTTATAAGTAGTCAGTCTTGCCCGATTCTGGGGGCGATCCCGGAGAATGGGCCAGTTTTGCTTGAGCCCACTGACTCCGTGCCAAGTCCTCAGTCCTCTCTCCCCACCATACCTCAAACCGTTCTTGCTGAACCCAAGCCTCATTATGAAAGCCAGTGTATGCGGCTCGGAGTTTGGTAACTATTTGGGGGTGGGGCAGATGACTCATTAGTAAGACCAAGATTCAAGGATAAGCCTTCATTTATTAAGTTTGCTCTTTTACTTTGTTTTTAAACTTTGAAGAACCTTTAGTTCCCTTGGCCCAGCCGGGAGACGGACGAAGGCCCCAGGGAGAAAGCCCAGCGAGGCTTGAAGGAGCTGAGATATTGACAGATACTCATCTCTCTACCACTCAACTGGCAGATAAACGCTGCCAGACTGTGGATCCTAATCCAAGGCCCAGCTGCTACGTGGGTTGCTGAAGGGTGTTGAAACCACAAGTACAACTTGACACCACTGAGCCCACGGTGCTTGTCAATAATCTGTGAATTAGGTGCAGAGACTGTCACTGTAG